TCTGTTTCTGTTTCTTTTTCACCCGTTGTGAATGGGTTTATATTATTATTATTATTAATATTATTATTATTAATATTATTATTATTATTATTATTATCATTATTATTATTATTATAGTAACAGTAGTAGTAATACTGTTATTAATATAATTATCACAGCTGCTGCTTTTGCTGTTATTGTTAGTATTATGATATTTTGAGGATAATGATTATTATAATATTTTTTTCATTATTTTTCAAATTATTATTATTGTTATTGATGATGATTTGTTATTAATATTATTGTCAATATTATTGTTATTATTATATTTATTATTATTGTTATTATTATTATTATCATTTCTATTTTTATTATTATTAATGTTATTATTATTAATATGATCATTAGCATTATTTTATAGGTATTAGTACTGTTATTAATGTTAATGTTGTTATCTTTATTATTATTGTTGTTGTTTTGTTATTGTCATTATTACAGTATTTTATTATTCTTATTACTATTTTTTATAATGATTGTTATAAATTTCTTATTTCTTATTATTCTTAATAATTTGTAGATGTTATAGTTGTTATATTATTATTGACTACTATTATTATTAATCATCATCATTGTTATTATTATTATTACTATTTTATTATTATTGTTTTTATTATAATACACCAATTATTGATTATTTTTTATTATTATTGATTTTGTTGTTGTTGTTGTTCCTGGTATTTTTTTTTTTTTCTCTCTCTCTCTCTCTTTAATCATTATCATCATTCATATTTGTATTTGTATTGTTATATTACTGACTGTTTTGAGCTTATTTACCATTATTAAGCTTTATTGGTAATATTGTAGATATTAATATTATATTATAATGTGTAGTATTGCTACAACTACTACTATCACTTATTACCATTATTTTGGTAATGAAGTTTTATGTTTAGGCGATTATATTGAATATATATTCTAATGTCACATGTCACAACCCATGTAGTTACATTACTCTTTTTCCTTAGAAACTGAAACTGAATAAGCGACAAGTAAAGTTTAAAGCAGTGGTTCTTAACCTGTGGTGCTCAACCCTCTAGTGGGGCTTCAGTATTTTCTAAAGGGGGTGCGAGCCCTTAGAAGAAAACAGTAATTTCTCTAATTATCTTTGTTATGTTCTCAACAAGAGCATGGTAACATATTGGAAAGTTTGATTATAATGCAACTAATTCATACTCATTATAAGACTAGAGAGGGAGGCATGGAGGGAAGGGCAACTTCCTAAAAGTGGGTGTGGCAGTTAAATGGTTAAGAACCACAGGTCTAAAGGTAACCTGGCAGCACTGATGCCATTGTGGTGTCATACAGCAACTTGGTTTTGTAAGGTCAGACTGTAGTATAGACATGATAGGGTGTCATTTTATAAAGATGCAAATCAAACCTCCAGGAACAAGAATCAGATGTCCAAAAAGACGCCAGAGGACACAGTTCTGCAGATGAAGAAGCACATGCTAAAGCTCCTCTCCAATCATGATTACCCTACCTTCTGCAAGAATGACCAAAAGAACGGGCAGATTGATGTCGACATCTCCAAAATGCATCGGTCTTATCTGGAGGAACACGAACCACAAGCATTTGAACCACCGCCCAGCAATGGTTAGTGTTATTAGGAAAGAATTTATTACTGAGAAAGCAAATCAGTTTGCTCCAAAGGAATTGTATGTTCTTTTCGTTTCTGTTATTATTGAGTATTGATACATAATGTACTATAATTTGAATATATATATTAAAAATAATTCATGTCTTCAAGGTATTGCTTTTGCTACTTTCCAGATCCTAATAGAGAATATAAACCTAAAGTGAAACAGTGGTTATATAGAAAAATATTTTTAGATGAATTCAAGACATTCGAATATAATGCATGTAAACGTCACATTGGAGATCTAAGACGCAGTATAGAGAGTGTTATGATCCAGAAAAAGAAAAAGGCACCGAAACCGAAGCCTCCTGCTCCACCGCCTCCTCAACAACAGCAGGTCAGTCTGGTCACAGCTGTAAGGGATACGACAGGCTATTCTGTGAATATTTTTTCCTCCTATGATAGTTCAGACACAGTAATATACTGATGATAAAGACATATACAAGATTCAAGAGAATAGCCCCCCATTTCTCTCTCTCTCTCTCTCTCTCTCTCTCTCTCTCTCTCTCTCTCTCTCTCTCTCTCTCTCTCTCTCTCTCTCTCTCTCTCTCTCTCTCTCTCAAAAGACATTTAAAGATTTGTAATAAAAATCAAGAGGCATACTAGTCCTATATTAATCAAAGGATGAAACATGGCATTTTTGGGACAAAATGCCTAACTATCAGCAAACCTAGAAGTACATTTCAACTTAAAGTCAAGTAGCACTTGCAACAAGGAAGCAAATCAGTGGTTTAATCCATGATGAGTAAGATTTTGAATAAAGTTTGGTCAGGCTGAGGTGCAATAGTACACACCATGTCATACTTGAGCTGTTATCTGGCTCATAGCTGAGCTCCCAAGGCATCATTCTGTTTGCTGGGACTCAGACTCATGACAAGATTGGATGTCATGTGATGTCAGTGAAATTTTCACCATGTCATGATAGGACATCATGGTGTGAATAGTGTGATATATAATATTATTTAATTGACCTGTTTACATATTTATATTTATTGTAAACTTAAAATTAATACAGAGGTAAGATTATTGATTAATTATTATTATTATTTTTTTTTTTTTTTTTTTTTTTTTTTTTTTCAATATAATGTATTATTAATAAAGAGAAGATTGTTCTCAGCCATGATTAACCCATTGAAAGTATTGACTCAAGCTTCCCCATAACCATCCTTGTCAATAGCCAACAGATATATCCAGAAACCCTCAAAGCAAGTTTATAGAGTCTATTATGAGCTCAACCCTTAGTCTCCAGATGATGTGTGGTTCACATCTTGGTTGTCTTGGTTGTGGCTCCAGGTTATATGTTATTCACATCATGACAGACTTGCATGCAGCTCTAAGGTACCATAAGATATGTTACACAGAGTGTAACATACCTTATTTAGTGAAATGGACTCTAATGTACATAATTAGGATACTTACAGGTTCAATATAGCAGCGAAAATATATATGTATCTCTGAATATACAAAAGCATTAAAATCGTGTTTTGCATATAAATAATCTAAAAAGTAAATCATATCACTTTGTTGGTGTGGTGTGACAAGTGCTACACAATGACCATATCAGATAAAGGCCCTGATGTCAAACCCTGTTGGCTATGCGTACTACTAGGAGCAGAGGCCAAGTAAACCCCATATTCCCCCAAGAGGCAATATGTTAACCATTATTCCTCATCTGACTATGGTTTTTGAATGCTCATGAAATTCTGCTTTTACCAATATATAGTAGATATATGTCTGTTTCTGAAAATTATTTGCCCTGGAGGAAAGTTTTTTTCTTTCTTTCTTTCTTTTTTCCCTCTGTGTATATTTTTGTTTAAATTATGTAAATCAAAAGTGTCCAATGCCAGCTATATGTTTTTTGCCATATAAGGAATTGTTTTGGAGTGACCCCCCCCCCCCCCAAAAAAAAAAAAAAAAAAAAAAAAAAAAAATACACATCTGAGCCTCAAACCACTGTACTACAGATGAAAATTTTCATACTTATAGCGTGAATGTTTCAGATTTCATTGTTTGTTGTAGCTGACATTGTGTTTTACAATTCACTTCTGTGATTAGATATTGATTAAAGTGGAGGAATAACTAGTCTTGTATGTTACTAACAGTGAGTTAACAGCACCTTCTAATTTACTACTGGTGTTTATTGCCAGGCGATGCCACAGGACTACAGTATGAACAACCATGCTCTCAATAATGGTGGACCTCAAGATATGAGTCGCACTGCTATTCCTCCAGGAACTATCATAGCTGCATCACCACATCCACCAGCAAGTACGGCGCCAGGGGGATACCAGGTAAGGCTGAAAATAGGCTATTGATATCATTAGTAAAATTGGGTCATTCTTTGTTTATGTTCCCCATTCCTCCATTAGTTTCCTCTGTTTATCTAGTTTACATAGGGAACTCTGTAATACTCTCAAGGTATAAGACAGCTAAAGGGGCAGTCACACTCATCTTGCCTACCTTAGGATCCCCAGGAATTCCCTCAGGAATATTTTCCTGGCATTCAATAATGGAACTTTGTGGCTGGCAGGATTTAGTCATGATTGATAATTGATGAAATTTGCTTATGTTTGAAGTAATGTTATGCTTCTTTTCAAGTTTTCATTTAATTACATTTCACAGGCACCATTAAGCACATAAATACATATTGTGTGATGAGAAAATATTGGTATAAACATTTTCTAAGATCCAGGTGAAGCATACCATCTCAAATATATCACTGACCCAACTGAACTGTAGTGTGACCAGTCCCACCCTAGACCCAATGAAGAAGATTGCCTTCCACAAGAACTAATGAAAGTCATAAGAACTCTTATGGACTATAACCCTGTCTGATATTTGAGCCAGACACAATTCAGGGACTATCTTCCTGTTGTCCAAAACGAGAAAGGAGTTCTTTCTGGGGATCTGGGGGAGCCAGACCAAAAATGTCCTTTCCCTAGGTCCAGCTATTTTTTTGTATACATTGTTGATCTGTGATCATCTAATAAGGTATTATTCTGCAGTTATCACATTCAAAATACCTTGAAGCCAGTCAAGATGCCTGGTGGAGTGTAATTGTAAAGTAACTAATATAGGAATCTGGGTTACTGAAAGTGTCTCAAAGAACCAGGGCTAAGTCTGACCACTAGAGCCTCTGTTTTACACAGAAAAGAGAGTTTAGGATTTGAAATGTGATTAATTCATTGGTAAATTCAGGGGGGGGGGGGGGGTTACATGAAGACAACAAACTAAAAGAAAATTAGAGAGGCAAAGTGAAATAGTCTAGGAATGTTTCTAGGAAATTTGGGATGAGAGAGAAAAGATAGCATTTATTTACCACTTATTTGAATAAACTTCCATTGTCATTTTATTTTTATTTTTCAGCCCAATCTGATGAACCTTGGTGTTGATACATCATCCACACCTGTATCATCGATGGCCACTATGGGTGCAACCTCTACACTTCACAACTCCTTAGCTACGTACATGACGCAGCAGGTTCAACCAAACATACTCTTTGGTCTTGGGCAGCAACAGCAGCCACCACCAGCACAACAGCAGCCTCTCAACTTGCAAACTTCACACCAGGGACAACCAGCCATGCAACCTCCACCTCATCAACCTCCAGGAACATCAGCTGCACCCACTGCTGCTCCTCCACTACCACTAAATTTGCACAATCCATATTATGTGTCTTTGGGTCCAATGTTGCCACTACCTATGTCCACTCCACAACATAACCATCAACAGCAATTCCAACAAAATATGTTGCAGCAACAGCAAGGCATTCCTGGTGGCTTTAATCAACATACCATGTACCAGTGAGGCAAGGCGGCCCCCGGCTCCACCCACTACCCGTCCCCTGTGCCAGCACAGCACCGAAATCAATATTGTCCATATACACACATGCCGACTATACCTTCTTCTTACCAGTATACCTGGTCACCAACTTCATCTACAGCACCAAGTAATACATTGGCTTCTCGACAAAGTTTTCCTACATCATTTTCTACACAAACACAACACTCCTATGTAGCAAATTCTGTGCCACCACTTACATCACAACACTTTCCACAAACTCATATGTCCCGTCCACTCGGTTCTGCTAATCAGCATATTTCCAACACAAGTCAGCCATTATATAACCAACAACAGTCATATGTGGTTGTAACTGTTACCACAGGAAATCAGATAAACAATTGTATCCAATCTAATTCAGTAGTTAAGCAACCACAATCCTCTACTTCTTCACAAACAACTACTCATTCATATACAACATCAAATAATACACCAACCATGGCACAAATGGACATGGCAAACTTTCACACAAACACAGCACAAAATCACTTCACAGCAAATGCTCTTCCAGTGACTACCGCACATGTAAATAAGTCCACAAGCTCAGTTAATCAACAAATAATCCCTCAGAAGAATGAAACCATTAATCAGCACACTTATATTCCAATGTAGTGGTATGAGAAATGTTAATAGTTCTTCACATGTGTATCAGATTCTTGAAAAAGATAATACTTGCTGAAATTAACCTGGATGCAGGTTAGGTCAGTAGACCTTGCCTGTTTTTTTTTTCCCCCCCCCTCTTTTTTGTTTTTTTCCATGTGTCTGGTAGGGTTAACGATAGTGGCCACTTCAATGGAGAAATGAAGCATTTCGGTGGGACTACGGGGCCGAGCTGTCAGTTCAAAAGTATGCAGCTCATGTAAACCTCAAGTGACTTTGCAATTCATTTATACCAGTGTTTTTTCAGATTTTATAATCATGAATAATGTACTTCTTTCTAACAAGTCCTGAAAACAAATATAGATTTAGGACCTAACTGAGAAACCGTATCAAGCTAGGAGTTAAAATGTCAAAAGAATTTACATTGGCATGGGTGGGCTTGTAAAAATCAAATATTTTTCTTTTTGTTAGAAATTTTATTTCAAAGTAGCAAGTTCATGATCATAAGGTGCCCATAATTTGATTAGGTAGTGACAGCATTACCTAGGACATGAAATGTGTCACTATTTATTTCAGGTGAAAAGTAACGATTTCAGAAGGAAATGTGTCAAGCAATCTCTTTGTATGGGCTTCCTCAAAACAGGACTTTTTAATGAAAATTATGATATTCTTGCTATCTGTACTAATGCTCTGTTCAAGAAAACAAGGTAAGAAACTTTTTACACTTGTCCAATTGTCTGTGATGAATCCCATAATTTAGCATTGGATTTCAAATATGACCTTGGCCTTTTGTGGGCATTTAGTCTTTCTTTCTGTAAATTGAATTCCATATTTGTGATGGTAGAATACTATGCAGTATCTTTATTATTGTATCCTCTTATAATGTACTCTTTTTACTTAAACTTATAAATCTTATGCAGTAGTAACTTAGTTAATAGTTACTTTCAGATATGTATGTAAATACTTGTTCTTTAGTCTGAATGATAACTGTGCATACTATTTCTTATATTAAAACAATTGCTCTCTTTATCTGCAGCTGTTCCTAAGAACATAGATTTTTATCATTTTGTTGCCATGTTTGTGTAACCCACAATACCACTTCAGAGCATTCTTGCCTAATGTAAGGCCAGGTGGTGCTTTAAATGCACAATGTCTGAAAAAAAAACAATATTCGAGTCTTGACATTATTTTATATCAAAATTGTCAGGTTGTTAAAAGTGTATGAATAAAAACCTCATAAATGAGCTTGATGTTAGATAGTGAATTATTAGAGGTATTAATGAAATATGAGTGAGTATACTTAGGTTGTAAATTTCAAGGCTTGACTGTTATCTCAGGCATCATCAGTGTACCTAACCCAAGGGCATTGAGTCACAAACTATTGGATATTGTCTAGTATCCAAAGGGCTGAGGGACATAACAGTATTGGCAGCCAGTATCACAAATAGTCTATAAGAAGGGCATTGATACAGTTTACCAAAAGTCCTTTCTTTGTTATGTATATATCTGGTGGGAGGGTTCTTCGTCTATAAACTTTTGATTTGCTAGGGTATTTTACATGTCACAAGTCTGTTTTAAATATAAATATCGAAACGTGTTAAAAGTTATGCAGAACTCCATATGTGGAAACATATCCCAAGGGAATTTGATGAGGAGCTGTGGTGTCAAAATAATTATTTTTGTACACTAGGCTAGAGATGTCTTGATTGTGTATCAGATGGAACCAGCACAGTATGAGATAAAGATGCAAGTCAGCGCTGCTTCCACCTACTACTTCAGTTATATTTATGTAATTACTTACGTAAGACAAAAACTCATTTTCTGCTGCTCTTGCCATTCTTGTCATTATTGGCTGACAATTGATATTACATATCACAAAAAAATTATTTTTTTCATTTTTTCTTTCTTTCTTTCTTTTTCTTTTTTTTCAATTATTAGACATTATTTGCTTTTGATTATGGTGTTACTCATAGCTCTTCCTCTATTTGTGCATCTTTATTGAAGGTTTTATTACTGGAAATATTTGATTTATTATTATTTTTTTTATTATCAGATTTGTTGTCACTACTTGACTGTATCATTCATAGTACAATCAACATTAATATTATTACAACTTTTACCATGACTCTTGGTATTGTTAATGTAATACAAAATAGATAATGAATATTTTTGTAACACCTGTACGAATGGATGATATTTGGCCATGTTGATTAGTAGCATTCATTAGTATTCACCAGTGATTTATCTTAAAGTATATGTTGATATTATTTAATTTTCTGCCACGACTATTAAGGAGTTTATTTCCTCAATAACACAAGAATTTATTTTTACTTAATTGTGTTTCATGGTCATGTGTGTACTGTGTGATCATGAATCACACTGAATACCTGTACAAAGGAGGGCCTCCATACGGGACTGATGCAAAGGTTTAGTTTAACTAAAAGTGCCAGTGTCTGATGTTACATGTGTCTTACTTTTGATTTGCAGTGGTTAGAAGGATTGAAACACTTTCAAAGCAATTTTGTGTGGCTTGCCCATGAGTGCTATATGGTTGTTTATATTTTTCTAATTAATCGTAAGTACAAGTTCCATAAGTTTGTGCTGCAGCTGTATGTATCATGCAGCTATTACTACAGACAGAAATCTCATCTAGAATCTTTTTAAGGGCTGTGTAGGTTTTCATGGCCCTCATACATGACTATTACTTGTTTAGTTGAGCTGGTAACAAATGTACAGTGACGTGCTGGCTTTCTTTTTGTATCTGTTTTACGAGTCTTCATCTTTGAGGACAAGAAATAGCATTTTGATTTACAGGTTATCATATATATAATTTTTATAATTTAATTTTTTTTTCCTACCATAGACCTTTAATCAGGCCCCTTAAGATGCTGATTACCTGTCACATAGAACTGAGGCAGTCAGCATATTGAGAGATTAGAAAATTACAGATTTGTATCTTTTCTGATAGTGGATCATAGTACACTTTGGGAGATGAACTTCCCTCTTGAAATCCATGGCTCCTGAGCATTAAAGTCTGAATAGCTTTGGTTATTAGGCTGTGACATTATTTTAGTGGGATGGAATATTCACCTAAAAGATAAGGTTACAGCAAAAGGAAAGAATATCTAAGTCATTTTATTAATAAATTTAAACTCAGGCATCTTAGAGATATTAAATGTACATGTATAAGGAACCTTTTGCCAGATTTTTGTGTCAATATTATGTCCATGTTGTGTTAATAAAAAAGAAAAGAGAACAAGAGGCATTGACAAACAAGATATTATTATTGGGATCGACTTTAAGGCATTTAAAGTAAAACTCTGTTAGCAAATATTTGATAATATTAGCTATCTATATTTTTTAGAAAATGTCAAGCTGCAGCCATGTATATAATACTAGCTTTGGGGTATCATAATTGATGATTTTAAATCTACTTCAGTGCTGCATTGTTAGGACATAATTGCATTGAACATTTCTAGCAACTCAAACAGTGAGGTAAATGCCTGGAAGAACTGCAATAATGCCAGCAAGGAATCTCTTCTAATAATGATAGTGTTTTTTTAACGAATAGTAGTTAACTACTTTCAGTTCAGGCAATTGCAAGTTGACCTTGGTTGTGATTGAATAAGACCCCTTTAGGCATTCTAAGTGATTTAATTTTTGTTTGTGTACATAATGACTTGCAATAGATAGGACATGAAGACTTTCAGAGATATGTTATGAAATGGTAGCTAGTATTTTGTAGTATCCAGTTTTGGGCAATTAGACTTTGATTGCTCAACACTGTATATCTGCTTACCATATGATTCATAGATAAATGAATCGCCACTACCTCCAAGGAATGAGAACTGTGGTCGTTATGAACTGTCAAATCTCTTATCTTCCTTCCTCTTTTTTCCTCCTCCTTCTTTTCCTTTTTCTTTTTCTTTTTCTTTTTCTCTTCCTCTCCTCATACTCTTTCTTTTACTCTTTCTCTTTTCTTTTTCTTTTTTTTTTTTTTTGTCTCTTCTCTCTTCTCAATCCCATAGTAGTAAACTTCCTGCAGCTACAGGAAGCACCCTACAGAATGCACGGGGGATTGTGTAACCAATAGTTATAAAGATGATTAGCATGATTCTTGATTTTGTTCTCTTTTTTTTTTTTGGCAAAGATGAAAACACTTCAGAGCTTTATAAATTATTTGTTTTTAAGTGCAACCTCAGAGCATTGCATTCATCCTTCTTGGAAAATGCCCTGCTTGAATAAACAGGTACTGTACTCGTAAAATTTGTTTTGAAGTTTAGAAACAATTTGTTCTTTGAGGTATGTAAACTCATTGTGATTTCAGAAAGACAGTAGTGAATGCAAAATATTTGCCTTTAGATCTGATAGTTCCTATTTGGCCATACATTCCTTTTGTATTATACCCTATATTGGCTTGCACTTTTTTTTTCCTCTCTCCAGATAAAAGAATAGTTTATTTCATGAGGATCACAAAATCAGGATGTGTTTGCCATACATTGTGGCAGCTTATATATAAACAACATTTTATGTTGCTCATTAGGTACTGCACTGGAGCTGTGTATCTATTTTTATTGACTATTTTCCAATACGAAGTATGCAGGGTGACCATACTGCAGCTTATATGTATATAGTGTAATTAGGTCACTGTATTTTTTATATGATTTTCGTGTATATTTATATATGATGTAGCTTCCGCCAATAATATAACTTGCTTGGAAGTGCGTCTGGGCTGGAGACCAAGAGTGATAGCTATACCTGCAAGTTACCTCTGGCAGTTATCTTCCACTGTAGCACACACATGTCTTCTACCATTGTAGAGGATTGGTGCTCTCACAATACCCTGTTGAAGGAAATTTCCCTCCAGGCAATGATTGATTGCATAGCTCTGATTATAAGGAGTGTGAAAGGAGTTTTGCAATAAGGTAAAATGACTGTTTACAAATATATATATATATATACATATATATTGTATATATTCTGTCAAGTGATGGAGTTTTGTAATGGCACCAAAGTGGATACCTGTGTATATGCATTATTCTTTAGATTATAAATGATTTATTATTTTCATTGTGCCAATGTAATGTTAAATTACTGTAATGCTCTAGGTGTGTATGGTGCTGCAAAAGATGTAATGCCACTTGATAGAAGGGCAATCACGATCTGCCTCGGCCTGGACTTGTACCTGTATATATTATTCCCAGTCAAATATATTAACTAACATTTGAATAAGGGCCGTAATTAAATACGGAGGATTGTAGCCTTCTAACTTCTAAATGATGGTGATGGATGGAGGTTCATTAATGACTTTGACACGTTTGATTATTAGAATTTAACTTGTTATAACCATTGGTCATTAATTTTCTTACATCCATACCACTCAATAGGTAGATGCAGTCTTTTAAGATAACAAATGGAGAGTGAACATGTATTCTATGCTGCTTTGGTATGTAATATAAAAAATGTGGAACTAAGTTTAGGATACAAGTATGTATGCCATAAATATTTGTTTTTAATTTCGTAATAAAAATCTATGAATAAAAAACATTTTCATTAACCCACAATTAATTTTAAAGAACTAAGAAAAATACGGAGGTGCTTCAGGTGATTAAATAAACAGTCATACAAGCTAATTGTATTTGTTGCCCCAATACCCACCTTGGACCTCAGCCCTCGGCTCAACTAATTTTACATGGTCTTTTCTTCTCCCCCTTTTCTCTCTCTTCTTCATCCCCGTATTCTGTCCACTTCCTAAGGTTTGAGAGCCGTGCTGAAAAGATGAAAGGCTGGCTTTGTGTCAGTCCTATGAACGACCTCCGGGAGCCATGGCACGGTATTCCTTTGGTTAATCTAGCCCTTACCTTTTTAGGGACCCTGCGTGGTAGACTGTTTCTTTTCCTCTCATATTTCAGGCTCACCATGGCCAATAATGAGGATTTTTACTGTTTTTAGAGGCATTAAGGCTTGTCCCTCTATCAGCTAGCCAATCAAAATTTGATTTCTCTGGTTTCCTGATCCCTGCCTATCCTTTGACCACGGCTCTAACTGCTGATACTAATACTAAATATTATCCATTCTGAACCATCCACCTGAGTCATTACTCAACCTTCAGAATACACCCCTTCCTCTCTTCCAACATTCTCCACTTCATCTCCTACTGCACAATCTGATTCATTGTCTACCTCCCAATTCATTTCTCGTTGTTGTTGGGGGGGGGGGGGGGCTTAGGAGTCGGAGACTGAGGCCCTCGTCCTTCTACTGCTACCACCTCTACAAACCTTTTGAGTACTCTTTTTAGCACAGCTAAGTGGGGTCGATTTTTTTGTTTTTCGCCCTACAGTCCCTCACTCTAATTATACCCTTCTCTTCCAACAATATCTCCAAA